TAGATTAACTTACCAAGTATACTCATGACTTCAGTCTTATTTATCTAGAGTGAAAAATCTTGAATGACTTTTATCATGGAAGGATCCAATTGGTCCTCCTTTTACTGACAGTAAAACCCAAAAACTTTCCAAATGAACATTTTGCTAGAAAAAGCTTGAGATCATATCTTTGCACTCTTTCAAAGAATTTTCTTTAATCTTGCACATGGTCAGCTTGTGATAGACTTGATGATTATGTTATCGACGTATAATTAAATTTCTTTGTGCATCATGTCGTGAAGACGGGTTGTCATACCCCTAATTTAAGTGGCCCCAACATTTTAAAGACCAAATGACATGGAAATAGGTCCCCCATAGAATTGTGAAAGTTATTTTCTCAATGTCATCTTTGTCCATCAATGTTTGATGATACCCCTCCACATAGAATTCTACAAAATATTGAATTTCGTGTTTGACACGATTATTAATTAGAATGTGACTACTAGGCAAGGGAAAGTTGCCTTTTGGACTATCTTTGTTCAAATTCGATAGTCAACATAAACTCCTGTATTTCCATCCTTTTTGGGCACAACCAAATTCAAACAAAAGTTGTATGATGGAATCCCTAATTTCTTGCTTTACATGAAGGCATATTTTTATTCCTTTGACTTCCTCAGTACTTTCCAAATTGATTTCCTTGGTTTTACTAAGATCAAGCTTTGGTTTGTGCTCAAACTGTTCTAGTTCCTTATTAATTTCCCTAAAACCCTTTTCTTCATCATATTCAACCTCTTGATTCGTTAATTCAATAATAAACAAATCTTTGAGATCAGGGAGTGAGTTTCATATGCATATCATGTTATCAAAGCCATCATTTACAAAACTTAAAATTGAGACTAAGAATTAGGGGAGGAGAAAAGACAAAAGTTTACTATGAAACTGAAATTTCAGTGATATTTAAATTTAAAAGGGATAGAAGGGTATACATAATACAAAACACTTACGAATTTCCGAATCACAACCCTAACAATAACAAAAACAAAAAAGTAGCAAATCAAACTACCAAGACTTCTTCTTTTCGGGGAAATGAGTGGCATTACAATTGTTTTGCTCAACATGACCTAAGCCCATGAATGCACATCGGTATGACTTGTATTTTTACCAAATTGGACCATGTTTACTTCACAAAACAATTGGCTAGGATCCTGAATAACTTCTTCAATGTCTTTATGAGTAAGGGAAACTTAAATTTCTTAACCTTGATGGTTGATAAAGAAATGAGAAATATGGGGAATCGATTATGGTAGTGCCCAATCTATTCGTTTGTGTTTCTTAGCTTTATCTCCATTTCTCTTGATTTGTTTGTATTTGAGGCCTGATGTGCCTTGGTTTCCTAAAAGAGCTACGGGATCCATGATTTCCTTACAAATATAGTCCCAAAATTTTACCACGTTGATAACTATATTTGAGCATTATCGTTGCTACGATTGCAGAGAAAGAAGAGAGACATGGTTAGAACATGAGTTCTCCTTGTTTTAATTGCATGATTGATATGGCCTAAAAATAGTGCTAAAAAATGGAAGCACATGCCTCCTTTGCCTTGATGTATGAAATGGATGGATCTGTGTAAATAGATAAATCATCTGCCCAATGCACAATGATTTCTTGATGGTCGTATTCAAACTTAATGACTTGATGCAGAATTGATGGAGACTGCTTGATCCATGTGGATCCTCCATCTATAATGATGTTATTTACATAGTGCTCTTAACATTTCAATGTAAGATGCAAACCTCTATTGCATACATCTTCTTTAGTGGGTAACTCATCATCATTAAAAGTGATGGTGTTTGACTCGAAAATGCAGTTAGACATTTTCTCTATCTGATTTACCGTATTTTCCTTCGATACATGTGTTTCATTGAGAATCTTAATCAACATGCGACAATGTACTTCTAAGTGGAAGAGTAGAGACAACAATGAAATTTGGTGCAAGGGTTTTCTTAAATTGTTCCACAATAGAGTAATTTGGAACCTTAATCTTCTTAGAAACTCTTTTACTTCATACTTGGTAACAACCTTCTTTAGTGGTACATAGATATATTGCGTCATTTTCCCTTTCCTTAACTCTTTTGGAGAATAACATATTCTAGGGCATGTAAAACTTCTTGCTTCATCAACTTCTTCAACAAACTACTTTCCTCGATAACACACAACAATCTTATTGTAGTTCCAAGGAACAACTTTGGATAAGTCACAGGGAGTCGCTTGACGGGTATAACAAAGATAATCTCTTTCAATTTTCCTATGAAACATTGGTCTTGTTATGTTAATGAGAATCCTGTTGATACTTACAACATCGGCATACCTGATCAAACTTCAATACTATTTGAAACTCCAGGGACACACAGAACTGTGGTATCAAGATCTACATATTCCACACTCAAAGATTCAACTAGTTCTGAACTCTTTATTTACTTGTCTTCTTCTCATATTTTCCCAAAGAACTTTCCCATTTTCCCAAGGAGTTTGTACTCTTAATCATCGCAGATCATACCCACAAAATCTTTTAAATCTAGAAGTGGGTTAGTAGTTACATTGGGAGTGTTCTGATCATGCATCACGATGAACACTAGGTGATTGATTAGATACTTTATCGCCCCTTCAAGGTCCAAAAATTATCAATGTTGTGTATAGGAGCCCTAAATGATACTAAATCAATACTATATTCCTTCATTTTGAAATAAGCTTGATATGAATCTCCCAATGGAGTGAACTTCCTTTTATGTCCATGATCTTGAGCATAATTTTGCGTATGACGAGGGTTGTAGAGCACCTAATAGGGTGTTCATTATAGGTGAAGGTTTTCTTAAGTTGGGGCCAAAAGATGGGAGCTATTGGGAGGATGCACATACGACTGAGCATTGAAAACCGCATATAGAGATGGAGATACTAAATATTGAGGGACATAAGGGTTGTAATTCTACGGATAGGTAGATTGTCCCTGAATAAACGGTAAGGACGATCAAACTTCCTTTGAGAATCCCTTGGCGCTAGCGAAGAAACTTCCTCTTCCCTTTTACGATTTCCAAAATTGCCTAAACAACCCTGAATGGCCTGTGTTGTAGCTTTGATTGTTGCATGGCTCATGATCCTTCCTATTTTGAGACCGTATTCGACCATTTCTCCAATTTTGATTGATGTGTGAAATGGTCTTTCGGTTGCGGCTGTTAGGTGGTGGGAGTAGTCAGGATCTTGAGCCTCTAGTAAGATGTCAACCAATTCGTGTTCATCTAATGGTGTTTTGACCTGACCTGCTGATTCTCTCTATTTGATAGCATATTCTCTGAAACTTCAATTTGGATTTTTTCTCATATTAGAGAGTGTATTATGATCTGTCATTATGTTGAGATTTTACTCAAATTGTCTAACAAAATCACGAGCCATATCATCACATATGTTCCGGTGGGATATCTCTTGGTCTATGAATCATTTTGAGGCAACACCAATCAGACTCTCACCAAAGTACACCATGAGTAGTTCTTCATTACCCCCTGCACCCTTAAGTTGATTGCAGTATCTTTTGATTCGAGCTATGGGATCAACATGCCCGTCATAATTATGAAACTAATGGGTTTTGAATATAGTAGGAAGGTGTACATTTAAGAATCTTGACACCCAGTTTTGACTGACCTATAACCCTTTCAGGAGTGTTATTCGATTAAGTACGGACTTTTAAAACATATTGCAAGTTTAAAATCACAATCAATTTTGTCTAAAATTATATATTTTGGCATGTACTTTATAAAAGGAGGAATGACTTGAGAGACCCATGTACTTGACTCCGTTTGTCATATAGGCCCTTCTACTCATGACTGTGCTAGATGAACCCTCGAACCCACTAATCATAACATTTTAAACCCTTTTGGCTATGCGTTCACTTCAAACATACTATAAAAACAACACCTTTATCATCCATGTAAGTTTTCTAATGACTCGTCATTTATGTTTAATTTATTTAAAGTTTACAATTTCTTTATCTTTTTTTTCTTTTTCACTATATTTCTCTCTCACCATCTCTATTTTTAACTACCTCCCCCCATTTTTAAAACCAAAACACATCATTGCAATCTTACATCCTTACCTGAATCATTGCCTTAAATACTAAAGTATTTGAATATTCTCTATCACTGATAAACCACACTAAAATATCTAAATACACTCCAACATCTTCATAAAATTTTACATAATACATTTCACCTAATTTTAGAAAGACATACAACAATCACTCTTCACTCTCCAAAATCACTGAAATTTTGTCACTTCACCACCTATAAATTACCCTTCCTCTATTTTCTCAATAAATTCTCTCCATATAATTTTATCTAACAACTTTTGTAATAATTACGATTCTTGAAAGAGAGAGAAATGAGAATTGGGTTGGGGAAGAAAGGGTGGTAGACTCGTCGTATGAGAAAAGAAATTGGGGAAAAAACAAAGAGGGTGACATATTTTACATTTATTTATTCATTATTTATTTATTTATTTATTAATTGTTTTTAGTCCAAAGTTTAATGTCTACGCTCCTTTAATGCGTGAACTCACACGTCTGTTCCAGATCAACTATTAAGTTGCCATGTAGACTAGGTCAATGATCAGAGGGGTTTAAAATGCTCTATTTCAGTGGATTCAAGGGTTCAATTGGCAAAGTTTTGAGTAGAAGGATCTATGTGAAAAAAATAACCAAGTACAGTGGCCTCCCAAGTCATTCATTGTTAAATAAATTATTATATTTATCGATGTTTAAATTTGAAATAGTTATTTTACTTATTTATTCTAATGTTTTTAATTTTAAGTTTCTTTAATTTATATGAAAATGTTATAATGTGTGTAGTATTATATTAATCGAATGGAATCTCCATAAGTTTCCCTTAAATCATTAATCGCAACCTATTCAATTTATTTAGATTATAGCCCTTAGTCATCTTCAATTCTTTTTTAATCATAGACTCCTATCATTTTCAACTCTAACCTATTCAATTCAAATCTTATTTCAACTTTAGACAATTCATTCCAATTTTCAAATTTCCAATTCCAATTGATCTCAACCTTGATCAAATCCCAACATTTGGTTACTTTGATCGGACAAACTAGATCAAGCCCATCCTTTATTTCCCATTCAAGACCTAAAAAGGACAGAAAACCCTAAAAATTATCTTTGCTCTTTCCCCTTTGCGCAGTATCTCCTCATTCCCTTCTCCCTGTGCATACTCTCTGGCCAATGAAACTGATGAAGCGGCCACCTGGTTTAGGAGACCACCAGTCGGAGCAGCCGCACCTCTCCACGAAACTCTCATTCCTCCTCCGCTCTACCCGTTGCCTTCTCTTCCGTTTCCTTTCCTTCTCTCATTTCTCCTTTTTCCAGCGAGCAACCAAGAACCACCAGTCCCAGTGACTAAGATCATTGGTCTTCCTCTTCTCCTTTAGTTGCCCCTCTCTTCTCCTCTCTCCTCTATTCTAGCGACAACAACAACATAAGAGTAGCAGCCACCAACGAACAACAAAACCACTGATATCCGTGGAGACCACCAACTTTGCAAGAGAAACCAAAAGTGGAAAGCTCCGACGAGGCAAGCCATGCGAACAACAGAAGCCAAGCGCCACCCCGCTTACCTCTTCTTTGGTCAGTAACGGAAAATAGCAACAACAACTCCTACCAAACGAGGCAAACAACATGGATTATAAGACTTAGCCACAAGGAACCTTCTTGCCCACTACAATTTCGGTTAGAAGTTTCGATAATCCTCTCTATTTTTTCTTAAGATCTGTGTGGTATGTTGATTCTCATTGAATTGTTACTAGTCTACTCATTTGTTTCGAAATTGCTCAGTTTCATAATTTAGCTAAGTAATTACTCACTTTTGTAATTTAAGTCTAAGCATCTTGCTGTCAAATGATTTGCTGGATCCTCTTATTCTCATACATTAACTCTCTCAATTAAAAATAGTTCAAATGAATTGCTTATTTTGAGATTAATATGTTCCATATGTTATTGTGAAATATCCATGTCTTCCTGCTATTACTTTTTAATATGAATACTTGTTCCATTCCGTTGATTGATTCTCACTCACTACTATCGTCTATAAGTTTTAAAATTAGTTCATCTGGTAAGTTTTATTCTGAATAGTTAGATTTAGGGTCTTAAAAACCGTATCAATGATGTTAGCGAAATTTAGTATGATAATTGATTCTTATTGTATTACTCAATTTAGATGGTTTGTTAGTTTTAATCTCTAATTCTCCAATGGTAGTGTACGCTTAATATGGTGACTAGGAAGCCTTACTTGTCCTGTTAACTTTTATTTATTCTATTTAAATAGAGACCCTCATTATTTGTGTATTATTCCCTCTATAACTAAGTTAAATTGGATACTAATGTATATAACTTTGGAATGTGTATCATCTTCTTTCTTATTTATATGTGTGTGAGCTGTGTAAAGTAAAATTTCTTGATTATTCTTACCTTAAATAAATTTTGGCAGATCTTTGCTTAGTTCATTTACAATAATATTAATGCGTGATTGAGGTTATATGTTTACTTCTTCCCTTTAGCATAATTGCTCCCCTTTTCTAATTTTACATGTGTTTAATATTTTATTGACTTTGGATGATTGATCTCATGCCACTATTAGAATTTAGACCAGACTACTTGTTTATATTTGGTAAAGTATGAGACTTATTTTATACTCCATTTGTTAAGTAAATAGTATCAAATTAATTGCCCCCCCCCCCCCCCAGATCTTATTACTTGTTTATATTTGGTAAAGTATGAGGTTTATTTTATACTCCATTTGTTAAGGAAATAGTATCAAATTAATTGCCCCCCCTAAAATTATTCCTCATTGTTGTGCCCTCTCATCTAGTATATAAACATGCTCTTAACTCTATACTTCTCACGCTTTAGCAATAAACAATGACACTGACACATTCTAACAATTAGGAAAAAAACTATCTACTCTCCACAAAACAATGTAAAGAAATTCCAAAAAACTTGGAGCATTCTCTCTTTGTTATTTTATTGTGATTGGTTTGTTTATTGGACTAAGTTTGTTCGCATTGCTGATAAATGTATTCTACATATTTGGTTAGCTATCCTTCATTGATTTAGTATTCTTCCTTCATCATTTTATTATGATTAGTGTAGTGTATTTGAAATAAATAAAATGGAATCATCCGGGTTAGTCTTTCTATCCTTTTCTATGTGTATTTAAGTTGATACTATTAGTTGTTCATGTATTATATTTATGGTATGCTACCTCTTTTTGTTTAACAGGGTATTCAACATGGAGGTTCAAGATATTTAAGTGTCGCCATGGTTGGGAAGTGCTAGACGAGCGAAATTTATTTAATTTGTGTTTTGTGTGTTATTTAATTTCTGTTGTTGTCTTGTAATAATTTGTATCACTCTAACTCTGTTCTATATATAATATATATTTGAGGAGATCGCACAAAGGTGGAGGGAAATATGTGCTAATTGTTTATTTTTCTTTTGTTTATATTAGTACTTGTGTTTATTGAATATAGTTTGTCTATATTGATTATTCATAAAATTGGATGAATAAGTTATATTATCTCCTAAATAATCAATCTAAAGTCAAGCACTGGTTTGTCTATAACTTCGTCCTATTTGAATTTGAAATCAATAGACATGTAATGAAATAACTCAACCCCCACTAAAATAGGAAAGCGTGTTTCTGTGATATTATTAATGCTTTTTTTTCTGTGTCGATCTTTATCTGAATTTGGTCAATATTTTAATTATGTTAAGGACTAAAACAATTTTGTTCTGAATATTTTATGTCCACTGTTACATAAGTTCTTCAACATATTTATTTTCTATAACTTAAAATAAATAAAAAACTATTGCGAACATGTTATAATTAAATAAAATTAATGCATGACGATTTTCTGCTGTGTATGGATAGATATTTTCCTGCTTGTTTAAGAGTTAAATCAACATGATAATCATTTAATTAAAATATGAACCGTTTTAAATGCTTGCTTGCCTTTGTTAATTATGTAATTTAAGTAAATCAACATATTTTAATAACTTAATTATGTTAGTTAATTAATCAAGTTTTAATTGACTTTAGGTTTCTAATAAAACTACAACGTGTTAATCACTTATAAGCCATGCCTATAGGACTAATTTAATAAGATAGATATGTTAATAATATTCAATAATTGCAGCATGTTAATCATTTGGTTTAATTATCTAACAATATACTAATCACCTAGATATCATGTCTATACGCTCTTATTATTTTAGCATGTTAAATATGTTAAAATTGATCTACCCAAATAATTTATACACCAATTTTCTGCATTTTGCATGTTGTCTGGCCGCTTAAAATAATTAATTCTTGAATGATAAATTGAACTGCTTAAAACTAATGTGTCCTTGATTAACATCTGTTCAGTTTGTTTAATTTTTTACATGGTCATAATATATCCTACTACTTAAAATCAACTAATAATAATCCTTTCCTCCATTATTTTGTTAAAATATGTTATCTTAGGTATTTGCTCCCTAAATTAAATTCTGTCTAAGTAACTTATGCATTAATAAAATTATTTGCATTCTCAAAACAATTTAATGATTCACTTTTAGTATGTTAATTAACAGTCATCTAATCTACCACTACTCTAATGTATTGCATACATCTATGATCGCCTTCTGCCACCTACCAGTAAAATCATTTTCATCACTTTATCTAATATAAAATTGATTATCGTTGTGATTGTTTGTATGTGCATACTCTTCGTATGAGACTTTTTTACTTTAGTGTGTTTGAGAGCATGTTAATTAAAATCTAGAGGTCAACATGATATTTCAAGTGCTAAATGTTGTCCAATGTGTTTTTTCTTGGTATCTAGAGGGCCTAAGTAGACAACTTATATTTTTCTTTTAGTCTAAAATCTCCCCAGTAGTAGTCCAATGTCTCTTGGACGTTAAGGGGGACACTACGCACCTTTCTAGGATGACATGCATGCGGAAGGTTGGGTAGGCATTGTTAGGCCAAGTAACAAAGATGATGAAGATTGACTCGAGCTTAAAATAACAAACATTGATTTTTTTTCGGAATAATAAGTCGACAAAATAATAACTCGAGCGATGATCCATAGAAGGGTGTTTGTTTATGTTTTGGAGTCTCTTTCCTTTTTTTAACTTTATATAATTTTAAATGTTTGGGTTAATGTAATAAATAAAAATAATTTTTGCCTATCTATTTGTCTATTTTCTGTCTTCTTGCTTATTTTCTTAATTTATATCAGTATTAATTGTTTAATGTTATTTATCACATAGTAAGCATTCTTAATTAAATAATAAATAAAGTTACCTTAATTTGTACTAGCAAACCCTACATAATTCATTAGATATGGCTGAGACCCACCTTTGTGGACCTCGACAGATGCTTGACAGCATCCTCTCGAGGTAGTTAGAACTCTTACCTGATATCTGGTTCATTGACTTTTAGTCAGGTTAAATAGGTGCCCTAACACATCTTAATTCATTATGTCGTGACTCTTCATTCACCTGAATCCAAAAGGGTTGTTAGGTTATGCACCAAAACACATTTTTGTGAAAAATGGGGTGCAAACAAAATAACGACTCTGTTGGGAATTTCAGGTTCTTAACATTACATGTTTCATGCTTATGTGGGTTTACTTTATTTGGTTATTTATTTGTTGTTTTGGTTATTTCTATGCTAAACTGTTTTTTGTCTTTCCTTGTTTTTTTTGCTTTCCTTATTTCTTGTCCATTTTTCATGTTCCACCCGTTTCCCTCTTATTTGAATATTTTCATGTTTCACTCTTTCCTTACTCCCCTACTTGAGTATTTTCATGCTTAATCCCATAGCTCTTTCATTATTTCTTTGATCTCTTACATGCTTATATGATTATTTCTTTTTATTTTTGTATTTATTTTCCGCTTTTCATAAATTGTCTATATGTTGATGCTTTCCATTTACATTTTACATGTTTACTACTTCGATAAACTTACATTCCACTCATACTTCTCCTTATTGAGACATTTTATAATTTTTTTTATCGTGATGCTTTGCCTTTTCACCTCTCACAAATACTCTAATTCTCTTTAAATACCTATTATAGAGAGCTGACATATATGTGGATGGAACATATAAAATTATTATCGGAAATCCACGAGCCTTCTCGCATAGAACCTTTTCAAGTTCCACTCAAACCCACTCTTAGAAAGCTCCGTTAGATCATACATGCTGCATATGCCCTAGGTGTTTTTACCCTTGGTGTCAAACCATACTATCGATAGCCACTATCATTTAAAGGGTCCTAACACCATTTAGACAAATTGTATATATTTTTTTCAATGTGATCACAATAATTAAATTAGACAAATTATGCCAAAATTCAATTTTTAGAATTTGTTTATTGTTTTGTTTGCAGAATCATGACCTTCCCATATTTCGTTAACCCACAAATGATCATAGAGGTAAACTACAAACTAAGAGATTGGTGGAATGATATCAACGACGTCAATGAGAGAGACATTCGCCATTTGGTTAGGGCCATGCTGAAATTTTAGAACCCAATGAGGATGGTCCTCAAATTTTTTTATTTCGATTTGGTGCAAACAATTGAAGAAATTAATGTTTTCATTGAGTTGTCATACCATGAGTATGAAATGATGGTGCCCTCTAAGCCATCATAAAGGGAGTTTCCTAAAAGCTTGGGACTGAAGTCCAATCCAACTATAACTTGTTTATATATTAGGTAGATTTCTTTAGACTTACTATATTCACTTTTTGGCCAAGAATATGGTTATTATTCTTTATATGAAGAATTTGAGTGCTCCATTGAGAGATGAAAAATATATCGCTTGAATGCCTTTGCCATCACAATATTAGGTTCCTTAGTTTTCCCTAAAAAGAGATGAAAGATACACACACGTTTAGGTTACGTGGTTCAAGATTTATTTGAAACAGAGGGTGAACCTAGGAAAACCATAGTACCCATGATCCTTGCAGAAATGATGTGAAGTTTGTCCGCATGCGTCAATGGAAGATTATTTTGCGAGGGATGCAACCTCTGGCTGTAATTATGATCTACCGAACACTTTACGGACAAGCTTACATGGTAGACCTCTTCCTTGGTTAATGCAACAAGTTCATAATTATCCAAGAAGAATAGTAGGTTTCAACACCCCTATGGGATTCTTATACTTACAAATGTTTTTGTTAGAACTCGACAACTACTGAATCCAATGGAAGCTCTATTGGCTATCCATCTCGCATGACATATATAGAGGTAATGGACATTATTTCATTCAGATTATTGGCTTAAAGGGTGTTCAACCATATGCTCCTTTTTTTAGTACTCCACTAATTTTGACAAACTCAAGTGATACCACTCCGATCCAATATGAATTAGTTTAAGTATGACTCTGAATTAGATAATCCGCAAGTCTACAACATACTGCGAAGATGTGAGAATGTAGTAACCATTCCTATGGGTGCACGACGGGCCTTCTACACTTTCAGTACTGCACATGTATCCTAAAAGAAGTTAAGAGTAGAGAATTAAGTGGAGAAGGATATTTTGGGCTCACTGATAAAACATAGAACATACATGCACACAACCTGTTGAACCTTAGGCATAAGGTTACTCCATATCTAAGCAGGCAACTGATGTAAAGCTCTTGAGACCGATATCTTCAACTTTTCAGAAGTTAGGATAAATTCCCCATGTACCCCTTTCCCCTTTAGTTTATTTTCAGTTTTAGTTTTTCATTATGATGTAATAGTTGAATTCTATAAAAATGAAAGTGGATTTATTTCTTATATGTCGAAGATTTGGACTCATTTGTGGCTTTGTTTGTATGGATTAAGTGTCCTCAAATTCTTAGTTTATGCAATAAACTGATGTTAAATACTTGAATTTCAGGTACATGGAATGAGTAACAAAGCAAGGCACTAACTGAAAAAAAAGAAAAAAATGAATAAATAAAGAAAGGCATTCCTAGTGATCTCCAAGAGACCTTGGCGTATCGTCGAGTAACTAGTTTGATCTCGTGAAGTTCAAGTGTTCCAACCTTGAGGGAAGAAGACAAGTCGCAATAGAGAGGATTAATCAATGAATCACCGAGTAGTTTCGTGATGCAGTGATTAATCGCCCAACGTTACAAAACTCAAGGATGTTGAATGTCAAGGTGAAAAAGTGATGTAAGAGATAAAAAGACGGCTCGCAGAGTGGTTCAACGAGCCTAACTTAGTTCACTGAACATCAATTCATGAATTATTTTTGGCCAATTTAAATTAGCTTTTGTGGCTGTTTTTAGGTTATAATTGAAAACCAAAACCCTCATCTGACATTGGTGTCACCCCTTTAATTTGATTAATGTTCTTTTTGGTAATTTCAATTCATATGGTTGACTAGACCACATTTTCTCTTCCTAATTGAATTTAAATACTACCGCTCCTTGTGGAATTCGAC